TGCTTTTTTTTTTCCGTAAAACACACAGCACAATGCTGTACCTTGAGTACCAGTTTAAAAGGGGCTGGGGGGGAAAGAACAAGGGAAAAAAAAGAACAAGATGAGATTTCTGATTTCAAGACGGCAAAACTTCCGGCGAAGCAGCACACAGGCTTTAAATCGGGTGGAGTGCAAAAACAGCATGCAATCTCACCTTGACGCAATGCCATTAGCAAAGAGAAGCTCACCTTGCTCTTGGCAGAAACAGCTCACCGTCTTACCTCATGCAGAAGAGCGCAATGTCTTGCCTCCGGTAGAGACGCAGCACTCCAAGAAGTGCTGCTGTGCTGCAGCCTGCTCTTTTGCCTTGGGTAGAATCTACACAGCAAGCTGCATTCATGTGCTGCAGCACACCGTCTTGTCCTGGCGGCCAAAAGCAGCACACTGTCTTGTCCTGCCGGCCAAAAGCAGCACACCGTCTTGTCCTGGCGCGGCCAAAAGCAGCACACCAAGGTGTGTTGCTGTGCTGCGGCACACTATTTCGCCTTGGAGAGAGTCGACACGGCAACGGACATAGGCATGCACCAGCACACCGTCTCGTCTTATAGCCCCAAGAAGCACATCAAGGTGCCTGCCTGTGTTGCAACACAATTTTTTTGCCTTGGGCAGAGTCCACACAGTAAGGTGGATTGCTGTGCTGAAGCGCACCGTCTTGGCTTGGCCAAGAGCACCACATCCTGGTAGCTTGCTCTGTTGCAGCACACCGTCTTTCCTTGGGCAGAAGAAACACAGTCATGCCTTGGGAATAGGCAGAGCACAGTCATGCCTTGGAAATAGGGAGCACATCAAGGCGCCGCTAGGCACTGCAGCACACAGACAGAACAACTTGCGCATATTACTTCCTAGACCACATATGCTGCCAGACACCCGCCCATGTTGTCCGTGTGTATGCACAACACGGATGGCCTGGAGGGCGCGGCACAGTCGAACATCCGGGATTTTCTCCGTTTCTCATCGTCCACTCCAGGGTGAACCTGATGTCCACTCAATGAAAAAAGGAGAAACCCTGATGTCGCATACTTCCCTCCCTCTCCCTCTCTCTCTCTCTCTCTCTCGGGACATCCGGACCACATACCCGGAAAGTAGCAAAACCTGCAATTGGAGGGCAGAATGTAAAGAACTCGCCTATACGAGAGAGAGAGAGTGTTGCATACTCGTGAAACACAGTCATAAGTATGGCGCAGATTCCCAGAACCGACCAGATAATACAGAGTGACTCAGACTGCAAACGAACACTCTCAATCATACATCAGGGGTGTGAAAACCCTGGCCTTGGGCATAGACGAAAGGCTAGGGTCTGAGATCATCCACGGACGAAGGGAGAGAGGAGAGAGACGAAGGGAGGAGGAGAGGGGAAGATGACGTCAACTCAGTGTTTCCAAAGATGGTGTCTTGAAATGTCGAAGGTAGCAAAAATCCAAAATGTCGCGAACGCAGTGTCTCACAATGTCTCAGATATCGATCTCACAATGTCAAGTACATCTCCAGAGGAAGATGGAGTCAGATCCCACTAGTAGTCCTCAACCTGTAGTCCCAATGTCGCTGTCTCCAATGTCATCAGAACTCGTAACCATCCTTCATACTAATAGTAGCCTCGTAGGAGAACCCAGGAGTAGATTTAGACTGAGAAGGTAGGAGGCGAGAGAGAGAGGGAGAGAGAGAGAGAGAGGGAGAGGGAGAGAAGGGGCTGAGGAACAGAGGGAGAGAAGGCAAGGCCTTCCTCCCCGGTACCTGAGCTGGTAGCTATGGCGCGGCAGGGCCGCTGCGCTGCGTCCTTCTCGCCGCTGCGCTCGCCTTCTCCTCGCTGCTCAGGCTAACGCTGCTCGCGCTGCGCTAATCCTGCTAACGCTGCAGTGTTGCGCTAATCCTGAAGACTAACGTCCTACCTCACTAACCTCCCAACTGAGGCTGGTGCCCAGCCTTTCGTAGTGCTGGGCCGGCCTCCTACCTGTTGGTACCTACCGGCCTGGACCGTTGATCAGACCGTTGATCTGATCAACGGTCCAGATTCTAAACTGGACTTGGAGCCTAAACGCGGCAGCCTCTGAAACTGCGCTGCCGGTAGGTCCTATGCTGGACCGGTACCGGCCTTGTGGCCGTTGGCCTGAGCCTCTACCCCTGGCCCACCTGGGCCTCATCTGAACCGTCGTTCCCTTAGGCCTACCCTGCCTACCTGGAGCCGGGACCTAACTGGGGCCCGTGTGGCTCAGAATGCCACACACACACACACACACACACACACACACAGAGAGAGAGAGAGAGAGAGAGAGAGAAGGAAGAGAGAGAGATACGGAAGATGAGGTCAACCCTGGACTGGGTGATGAAAAACAGAGAAACACAAACACATCCTGACAGAAAAAGCACCTTGCACTAAAGACCAGAGTGAAAAGCACTTGGACCTCGCTGCACTACTCTGCACATGCAGAAAAGACAAAAAAAGATGGCAATGTATCTTTCCATAATCTAGCGGAAGATTCAGTCTCGTTTTCCACATTCCGAGAGTAGTGTGCCGTGAGGCCCCTTACCTACAAACCTCCCCGCGTGCTCTGACTCCAGGGATGCAACTTTGCGCTGACCTCAGACAGAGGAGGCGGACGGCAAGACAGAGCGCAAGAGGAAGACAAGATGAACATGAAGAAGACGGCGAAGAAGAAGAAGAAGAAGAAGAAGAAGACAAGGAAGAAGAAAAAAAAGAAGAAGAAGATGAAGAAGAAGAATACAAAAGACAGCAAGAGGAAGATCACTTCACGACTCCAATCTGAACTGCAGGATAGATTACAAATTCCACCGGAAAGGGAGGCAGTAGATTATGTTTTCTCAAGAGTTGGAAACCCTTTCTTTTTTTTTTCTTTTTTTTCTCTTTTTTTTTTTTTTTAAGAGTTGGAAACCCTTTCCAAAAGTTCGAACTCCAGAAAACTTCAAATTTTACACTGCAGAGTTGGTTCTGAGTTGAAAAAAAAAGAAAAAAAAGAAAAAAAAAGAAAAAAAGTCGGTTCTGAGTTTGCGAAGTTCATATCCGCTGCCCCAAGTTCATGTTGTTCCGCGTTGAGAGGAGATGGACCGACTCCTGCCCTTTAATTTTTTTTTTAATTTTTTTAATTTTTTTTAATTTTTTTTCTCTCTGTTTGTGTCCTTTAATTATTTTGAGTCTGGGGGTGTCTGGAATGAAAGATGGGGGTGTCCAATGCACCTGAGCCACTTTCGAACCAGATGCAGCCAGAAGACAGCTACCCAGGCTAGACAGATTCTGGCCCGCTTCTGTTTTAGAAAAGCAGGAAATTATAATATGTTCTTTCTTAAGCCGCGGCGGAGGCTGTCAGTATTCCAGGTTGAATTGTGAGGACCCCCGCCTCAGGGCCCTCAGACTTATGATTGTAATTCAGACTATATCATCATCCCAAGCAGCGATGTCTGGCGTGTAGTCGTTGAGGGGCGCAGCGCATGTATCAACACATGACTTCCCTGCTGATTGTCCGCACCGACACATTTGTCATTTGGTCATTTGGTCGGATACTCGGCGGAGTTCCCAGCATATATCCAGCTTCGCGCCTACAGATTACTGTGTAAGTACCCCAAGACCGAAGTGATCTAGTTGTTAGGAGGGGAAGGGGGGGGTGGGGGGGGAAGGGAAAGAAGAAGAAGGAGAAGAAGGGAGTTCTTTCTGATTTTTTTTATTATTATTATTATTTTGGTTCTTTCTGATTTTCGCATTGTTTGTCTTCGCATCATTCATACTCTTCCATTCTTTCAGAGCGATCCGTTTCTCCAATTTCTGATACTGGGCCTCACTCCGCTACTCTCGAAATTTGCAAAAAAAAAGAGACTGAACCCTCCGCTAAGACCTGGACAGATACATTGCCATATTTTTTTGTCTTTTGTGCATGTCGAGAGTAGTGCGGCGAGGCCCATTGCCATGTCTACTGTTTGCAATTTTTGTGCTAAATAAAAGCAAAAGACATCCATTTCAATTATTCACAAAAGTCTGTGCTTCTTGTTTAAAAAAAAAAAAAAAAAACTGGTGTCCGTTACACGTGGCACCTCGTCATCATCATCATCAGCAGCAGCAGCAGCGACTTGCTCTCCTTCCTGTCCTGCTCTTTGCACTCCTCCGCTTTCACCAACAGTCCACTACCACTGCCAGACATTAGCAGTTTCCTCGACGTATCCGGTCGGATTAAAGGCTAGATTCGTCTCTGGGAAAGTCCCAGTCCCAATGTGAGTATAACGAATCCATAACGGCAACACCGAGATCATAGTCAAAACCCCTAATGCAAGTCACCAACTTGAATACTTCAAATTGAATACCACGGCAGAGAGGACGAGTGAGAGGCGATCACACAAGGTCCCCGCCACTCGGAAGAATGACCAACAGGTGGATCAACGGGAGAGAGAAAAGAAGAGGGAGAGAGAGGGGAGAACGAAAGAGAGCAAGGACGAAAGGAGAAGCGCAAAGAGAAGGGGAGAAGAAAGAGAGAGAAGGGGAAGAAGGGAGAGAAGGGAGAGGAAAGAGAAAGAGTAGAAATTTGGGATATAAAATACAGGGGGGGAGGGAGAGAGAGACAGACAAACAGACAAACAGACAAACAGACAGACAGACAGACAGACAGAGATAGAGCCAGAGGCAGAGAGAGAGAGCCAGAGAGACAGAGAGGGTGACGGGGAGACAGAGATAGAGCCAGAGGCTGAGAGAGAGAGAGAGCCAGAGGCAGAGAGAGAGAGAGAGCCAGAGGCAGAGAGAGAGAGAGAGAGCCAGAGGCACAGAGAGAGAGAGAGAGAGAGAGAGAGAGAGAGAGAGAGAGAGAGAGAGAGAGAGAGAGAGAGAGAGAGAGAGAGTGACTGAGAGAGAGCGAGAGAGAGGGAGAGCAGAAGCGAATGAAGAAACACATGGGTAGAGAGCATGAGAGAAGATAGTAGGGGCAGACGGTGGGGAGCATATAGTATCTTTTTCATATTTACATTAGGGTGGGGGAGACATATGGAGGGGAAACGGGAGATGGAAGGAAGAAATAACGGCAGGAGAAAACAAAGGACCGGGTGAGAGGGAAGAGAAGGAGAGAGGACAGGAAAAGACCAGACGGGGGAGGGAAAAGGAGGGAGAAAGAAGGGAGAGGACAGCGGCACGCGGCTGGCTGAAGGAAATATAAAACGAAAGAGGAGGCAGAAAAAGCGAGAAAACGACAATCAAGTTTTAATAGTGAAGAAAAGAGTACGGGGAGCAGAAAAGAAGAGAAGACAGGTATCAGTACTACTCCCATCATGTTCCCAGTACGCAATTGCCTCAGTCATTCCCAAAAACGAACAGTTGTGTCTACGTTGAGTTCAACTCGAGCATCTACTTTTTTGTACACGTACATTATACATTATACATTACCTCCTCCTCCTTCTCCTCTCTCTCTCTCTCTCTCTCTCTCTCTCTCTCTCTCACACACACACACACACACACACACACACACACGAACACACACACACACACACACACAAACACAAACACAAAATCTTTCCCCGTCCTTTTCTATCAGTGCAGTAACTGCACAGTCCATGCCGGTTCGTCAAAAGACTGGCGGAACTAAACCGGGCGCGGATCAACGGAGAAAAAATTAAAAAAAAAGAACTAAATTTGAAAACAATGAACTGAAAAAATAAATGAGCAAAATAAAATAAAATAAAACCAACACCGTTCCTTGGTTCATTCAAAATGGTCGATCCAAAAAAAAAAAAAGGTCAATGCATTCCGATCGTTCTTGAACTGTTAATCATCATCAGTCTGAAGAAGGTGAAAACGCGTAATGTTCCTACGACACGTTGCATGCTATCAGTGTAAACCCCGACCCCGACTGATCGCCTGCCATCAGTGTAAACCCCGACCCCGACTGAAGCACACGTGGCATGCACACCTGCACTTCCCGCCAAAATGACTTCGTAGCTGACTTTTCCTAGTACAACCCTTTCCCCTTCCCCCAATTTGCCCACAATCTCCTATACCCTCCTCCTCCCACAACCCTTTCCCCCTCCATAAAGGGCGAATCCATAACCACCCTTCCCCCTTTCATCAACCCCCCCTTTCACCGCCCCCTTGATCTATGAGTACCGTCAACGGCCCCGGCCCCCCTCTTTTCCCATTCTTGGTGAGGTGCAAAGCCCCCGACCAATTCTACCTAACCCTCCACCCTCTCTCTTCATCACACAAACAAGAACGAATGAACGAATGAACGAAGTCATTCGTCTGCGACGACAATTGTTGCGCTGCTTCCTCTAGTCCCTCCGCCTATGCCCCCTCCCACCTCCCTTCCCACCTTCCCTCCCCTCACTCTGTCACGCGATACCAATTCATCAAAGCCGGGTGGCCGCAGCAATCATTCCTCCTCCCCCCTTACACACACACACACACACACACACACACACACACACACACACACACACACCAAGTGGCAAAATGTTTACTGCCAATGCAACATAGCACCCCTATGCTGCGATATTCATACATACACTAACACATGGCCATGCCCGTGGCTTCTCGATTTATACACTACCTGCCTCCCGCAAGCTGGTAGTAGAGCTAATCCATCAAGACTCTCACGCCGTCATTTCTCTTCCTCCATTCTCGCCCCTGCTCACCGTCGCATGCACCCTCAAAGGTCCCGTGCTGAAGATCAAGATCAACCCACCTCTCTCTCTCTCTCTCTCTCTCTCTCTCTCTCTCTCTCTCTCTCACACACACACACACACACACACACACACACACACACANACACACACACACACACACACACACACACACACACACACACAGAGACGGGTTCATTTGGCCATACATCAATCAAGGTGCTCATCGCTACGTCGTTGGTCTTGTCATGGTGGTAGATCCACGGCCGCCATGCACTGGGGGAACGGCAGGATTCTCTCTTCCATCTTCCTCCCCGACAGCCCCCTCCACTTCACCTCCCATCATACCTCCTGCCTCTCCGTCCTCCGCATTTATGCTTCCTCCGGCGATTCCCACACACGTGAAGATCTCATCGTCTTCTATCTTCAGCGCCTCGTACGCGTGATAAATGTCATCCGTCGTGGCCATTTCGTACAGCGATGGCAACTCCTTGATGCAGCCCACGTCCTTTCTCTCGACACTTGGCGCCTGAAGATGCGTTAGTAAACCCAACCAATAGGCATTATCCTTGAGATCAGATTCGTGCCTCATCAGCAGCGTTCTCTTGGCTCTGTCCAACTCTCGCTGCGTGACGCGATTCCCATGGACACCCCGAAGAACGTTCAGAGAAGCTTCTACGGCCTGCTCAATCTTCGCCGGCGTGGAGGTCACCGAGATCACAAACCAGCCTGTCTTGAGACGATCAAACAGCGACAGTTCAAAAGACACGTCATACGTCAATCCCAACGCGTCTCTTACAGTCGTGAAGAGGCGGGCGTTGATGATTTCAGCGAGGAGCGCCAACGAAACGCTGCCATAGAGGGGATGCCTCTTTCGCTTCCACATCAGCTTCCTCCTCCTCCGTGCTCCCCCTTCCTGCTCGCCCTCCCCCCCTTGCTGCTGCTCATCATAGTACTCGCCGTCGGGCGATGGAATCACCTCCACGCCGATCGACGACATTCTCCACGCCTGCTCCTCTGTCATGGATGGAGGAACGGGTTCCACGATCGTGTTCAGATCCCGACCGTCTGACGTGTACCCCCACCGATTGGGAGCAGCGCCAGCAATGTACGCGCAAGCCCTGTCATCGGTATCCCGAAGGAAGACCTGTTGATGTCTCAAGGCGGGATCCAACGGTCCTTCGACGATCCGCACCACCCTCTCCTCCTCCTCCTCGTCCTCCCCTTCCCCATCGTCTGCCGCCACGTCATTCTGTTGCTGCTGACCTGTCCCTCGCCTAATCACCGACAGTAACGCCTCTCCTACTCCACCTCGCACACTCTTTTTCTCCTTCTTCCCCCCCCCACCTGTCCCCGTCTTTGCCCTCCCTTTCTCCCCTCGCCCTCCTCCTCCACCCAACGACGACGAAATGGAGCTGGTGGTTGTGGGAGTCAACGTACCCAGGTAGTCGAGCAGACACCTTTCCACCTCCTCCTCCTCGAAATCCCCCACCACGGACACCTCGAGATTGCCCGTCGCCAGCTGCTTCATCACGACTTCTCGTACATCGGACAACGTCAGGCGGGCGATCGCCTCGGGGGAAGGTTCCAGGAACCTCCGATCTCCGCCGAACATCGCACTCATCAATCGATGCGCCGTGGCTCTCTCAAGGCTCTTGGGCATCGAGCGGTAATGAGAGAGGTAGAGCTGCTTGGCCCTCTCGAGGGCGTCCTCTAGCCACACAGAGTGTTCAAGGACCATATGGAGAAGCTGAAACGTGGCCTGCATGCCGCCATCTCTCATCGTGAAGCGGAAGTCCATGCAGAGGAACTCCTCGTCAGCCTCGAGGACGCAGTTGATGAGGTTGCTGACGCAGAACAGCTCCACTTGCTCGCGGGTAAACTTGCCGACGGCGCCGCCTTCGGAGAGGGTTCGCACGCCCACGGCCACAGCGCCGCTGAGCTCCGGCACTTCGCGCGCCCTTCCGCCTTCCGCGACCACGCGGAGCATCCCCCCGCGCGCCTCGTTCTGCGTCCGCTTGTAGTTTACCCTAATGCCGTTCGATAGCCGCCGCTGAACCACGCCCGTCACCTCGTCGCGCAACTTCGTCAACGTCGCGCTTTTCCCCCCCCCGCCCATCACGCCGGGCGCGCCATTTTCGTAGAGCGGGACGAAGCTCGCGCCCCCGCGCAGCTTCATCGCGTGCACCATGAGCGGGGGAATCAGAGCCTTGGGAACCTCGACGTCCGGCTCGGGAGACATCGGCTGCGCCAGTCCCTCCGTGATGACCTGGCCAATCCGAACGGGCGAAATGCTGAACACCTCCTCCTCCCCTCTCTCATTAACCACCGTCTTCGGCACGCACGCCACGATGGCAGCCGGGATCGGCGCGCTTTCGGATCCGAAATCCGCTACGTATTCCATCAGCGCCTCCGCCGTCGCGTTCACATCCGCCAGCGTGACAGTCTGCGCCACCGCCGTCAAGCACGCGTGGCCCTGTTGCTGATCCATCACCGTGTGACCTAACGCATCACTCTCCATGATGAAATCGAGATTGTCTACGGACGGGATGTTGTCGATCATGGCGGCGAGATGCTCGCTGTCCTTGAGAAGAGCATTAAGGTATCTTGTGAGCTCCCCTCGGGTAACGCCAAACTCCCGGAGGCGTTTGACTTCTTGGACGCCGACTTTGACCGCGCCCTCCCAGTGGCGGGGCTCGGCGGTGACCGTGAGCGTGGTGACGGCGCAGCCCTCGCGCCCGGAGTCGCTGTGATCCAGCTCGATGCCAATGAACGGCGGAGAGGCGCTCTTGTAGCGCGCGTTGATGCGGAACTGGAGGGCAGAGAGCAAGATGCGTTGCATGAGGACGTTGCGGAGGTCGCCGAAGGTGACGACCGGTCGCACGGGGGTCTTGCAGAAAACGCTGAGGGAGAAGTGTTGCAGCAGCTCGTGCTGAAACACGTGGGGAAGCGACGTCGATCCTCTGGGGGCGGCGTAGCCGCTGCGCATGTACGGCGACCACTGCACGGACCAGCGGTGCTCCACAGGAGGGCGGATTGCGTGCCGTTCCTTGCGCACGGACACCGGAGGACCGGTCGTCGGCGGCGACAACGCACTCGGAATGGCTCTCATCGGCGAGCTGGCGGCCGAGGCGGCGCCGCCGTTCCCCGTGACGGTCGCCGCCGCCACCCCTGCGGAAGAAGGCGGGCAACTCGGCAAATCCAGCACAGACGACGGCGAGGACGACGAGCCGATCTGATGGGTAGTCGTACCAGAAGACGACAACGACGAGGCCGCCGCCGCCGACGCGCCGCGTGGATGCACCATGCCCGGCGGCGTTGACCCGAACTGCGCTTCGATCATCTCGATCGTACGGCTGACGCTTCCCAGGTCGCCGACCAGGAACAACGTCGCGTTGGCGGGAAAGTACCACCGCTCGTGGAACGCTCGGATTTGATCGCCCTCCCATGCTCGTATCCTCTCTTCCAGACCGATGGGGAATCGGCTTCCCAAGAGGTTTTCGGAGTGCAATTGCTGCAGAAGCTGGCAATCGACTCGGTACTCGATGGTGTTCATCATCTGCAACTCCGACAGCACTGCGCGCCGTTCCTTTTCAATCCTCGACGGCAGAAACTTGGGCTTAAATGCGATCTCGTGCAGAGCTTCCAAGACGAGCGGCAGCATCGGTTCGCCGGTAGCTTGGACCATCACCGGGGCGTGAACGTGAAAGACCGTGTGATGGAAGTCCGTGTACGCGTTCGACCTTGCCCCAGTACCCAACAGCCTCTCTCTCTTCTTGCTCCCCAGAAACGTCACGTGCTCTATCAGATGAGCGATGCCTTGCTCGCCCTCCAACTCGTCCACAGAACCCACGTGCATTTCCAGATGTGCTTCGAATCGATTGGGCGGCACTTTGTTGGGCAGGATGACATACCTTAGTCCGTTCTTCAATTGCCCCCTGTGGAGTTTGGGGTGAGACGGGAGGCGCATGCTGAGCATCTCGTCTAGGCCAACATCATCATCAATGGCCAGAGAGGCAAGATCCACCCCGTCGCCGCCCATCGGGGGGACGGGGAACTGCTGCACCGGCGCTTGATTCTGAAGCCCGACATCTTCCTCGATCTCCTCCTCCGTTAGCAGCGAAGGCGGGGCCACGCTCCCACCTCTCCTGATCGTCCCCGCCTCGTTCCCCACGCTTCCGCTCGTATTCGCTGCTCCCGCGCCTCCGCCCGCGCCCGCTCCCGCTCCCCCTGCGCTCCCGCTTCCGCTTGCAGCGGCTGATGTCCTCACCGCCGTCAGCATCTTCTTCCTCCCCATCGACTGCAGACAGCTGGAGCGATCTGCCGCCAACCCATCGCACGCACTCAGCCTTGACAAACCACTCTCTGCAGTCGTGGACTGCTTCCGTACGTCGTCGCCTTGCGCCGTGGGGATGGCAGCGGAGGAGGAGGGAGAGGAGAGATTGGGGTTGTTCGACGATAGCGCCGAAGGGGACCACGTTCGGGGACTCGACAAGCGACATTGAGGGAGGAGATGGGAGAAGGAGGGGCATGATCGTCTCTTCCGAGAGGAGAAGGTAGCATGTCGCCCAGGGAAGCTGACAAATGAGGACGCGATGGTGAGCGCCGCCGCCTCATTGCCATCCTGCGTGGCAGTGATGGCGGATGCCAGGTTGGAAGAAGACGAGGCGGATGAAGAGACACCTCGTACGCGAGTGGGCTTTCCTCCATCATCTTCCCCGCTACTCTTTTTCCTGTGAGTGAATAATAAGGACGAGCTGCCATCGAGCGGATCAGCCTGCCTTGATGATGACCTTCGCGAGAAAAAGGAGGACGAAGACGAAGACGATGACGTGGACAATCCAGACAAGAAGCCGCAAGATGACGAAGGAGGAAGCCACGTGGCGCTCCAATCTTGCGCTGTGGCCCTCAATGACGAAGACGAGGAAGATGATCTGACCCGCCTACCGGTCGTTGACTTCCAGGTGTACTTGCCTTCTTCCCTACCATCAACCACAGAGATCGAGGATGACGATGACAAGGGCGAGACTCTCCCATCCACACGAACGAGCGACCGGCTTGTGCGACCGGTATTACACAGCAGCGACCGCGAATATCCCAGACGACGAGAGCGCCGGCATCCTTGGCCATCTACCGACCTGCCACTGGCGTAGAAACCTTTGTTGACTAACGAAGAGGACGAAGAGGGTGAACAGGAGGCGGACACACCAGCTGAAGAAGAGGAAGTGGACGTGGAAGATGATGACGCTCTCTCTGCATCACGCCTCCTTCCTGAACCAGGCAAGACTAGGTCGGAAGACGAAGCTGCCAAGTGGGCAACTCGTGTGACGCCCGCCATCGCCAGCTACCGCCTCGAGGTTTCACCGCAGGCGATGGCTATGGCGATGGGCGAGACGATGGAGATGGCGTCTGAAGGAGGGAGATGGCGTCTTCCCTACTTTCCTTGTGACGAACTCGTGTCAATCAATGTATGATGGATGGATGGATTTCCACAAAGACAACAGACGGGGAAACAGAAGCGAACAGAAACCCGGCCCGCGACCGGTCACCCAATATAAAACGCCATAAGCCCATTCTACCGGTCAGGGACTTGCCAACGCCGCCCGACCGGTCAGTAGATCCATCAAAGCCCATGCACGACCGGTTCCCAATCTGGGACTACGCGAATTATAACCACTGTGTGTGTGTCCGGCGATAGAGTGGACCCGTCGCCGTCGATCGGTTCATCGCGGCAGCAAGAAAGCAACTCTGTGGGTTTCGAAGGCTAATCAGATGATGACTCGCAGAGGGATCCTCTCTCTCTCTCTCTCTCTCTCTCTCTCTCTCTCTGGCCTCGGGACGCAGTCTGGGCGCTGCGTCCTGCTGGTCGTACAGACGCAGCGACTGTCATGAGCGACCGGACCCTCGACTGGCGGCGGACAACAGCCGACGAGCAGACTCGACATTCGCACACCGTAAGTCATCTACCGAACGACCGGTCTCTGGATCCCCTCATGACTACTGTCGTTCCCACCCTGCTCCCTACCGGTCCTACGCACATATAGCTTGCCTCCCACGAGCGGCTGTTCGGTACCTGCCCAGGAAAGAAATGGAGGGGCGGATGCAGTGGAAGAGAGGGACACCGCGCTCAAGCGACGAGTCGACAAATATCCGGTGTCTCACATGCAGGGACTTCGATTGATTGGATAATTACAGGAATTACAGGAAAAGGTGTCCATGGCCCACTGCACAACATTCTTAATGAATCTTGAGCAACTGGGCTGTCCTGGTGCATTCAACAACATGCTGGATCAGACCGAATGCATCGCTTCCACGGCTTTGCCAGATGCATGTAGTAGTATGTTGCGCAGTGGAGCGGGGCTCCATTTCTTTCATTTCTGGCATGCGGCCTCCGCGGCTGCGACCGTGAGACAAAAGGGCTGGATTGGATAATTACGTACCGAGAATGGATAATTACAGTTACAGAAAACGTGCCCAGTCCCTTGACTTGATTTCTCGGGCGGGACCTCCGCGGCTGCAGCCAAACCATCACTTTTCGCAAGGGAACGCCAAGGGGGGGTGGGGTCCACAGGGCCATTTCCATGGTCGGGCCATGCCTTCGCCCATACTAGATGGGCAGGCCGAGATTGGCTAACCAGGGGGCGCGGTCGTCAGGGGCCCGCCACAAGTCCCACCTACTGTAGGCCTTGAGTTCATTGTCTACCCCGGGGCCACGGGGAATGCAGCCCTAAGGGGTGATGGTTTTTCTTTCACACGAGAGAGAGAGAGAGAGAGAGAGAGAGAGAGAGAGAGAGAGAGAGAGAGAGAGAGATGCAGATAGTTGACTAAAACAAGGCCTGCACGAGAGAAAGACGGCGGGGGGAGAGAGAGAGAGAGAGAGAGAGAGAGAGACACCCCGGTATGCAGCCCTGAGGGGTGATGGTTTTTCTTTGACATGAGAGAGAGAGAGAGAGAGAGAGAGAGAGAGAAAGATGGAGAGACAAAACCAGAGACTGAGAGCGAGAGAATGAACTTTTACCTCATACGATACTTGTGTGTGTGTGAGAGAGAGAGAGAGAGAGAGAGAGAGAGAGAGAGAGAGAAATAGAAGCAGACACAGAGAGCGAGAGAATGAATCTTTACCTTGTACAATACTCTCTCAAGACAGAAACAGAGACAAAATGAGAGAATGAACATAGCGAGAGAGAGTATTGTATAAGATAAAAGCTCATACTCTCGCTCTTTGTTTCTGTTTCTATCTCGAGAGAGTATTGTATAAGGTAAAGATTCATTCTCTCGCTCTCTATGCCTGCCTCTCTCTCTCTCTCTCTCTCTCTCTCTCTCTCTCTCTCTCTCTCTCTCTCTCTCTCTCTCTCTCTCTCTCTCTTCGTGTGTGTGTGTGTAATATGCGAAAAACTCATCGTCATGCTCTTCTTCAAACGTTGTGTCAGCGGGATCTCTTCTACCAGCAGCTACTTTTCATAGTGTTTTTTTTTTTTCTTTCTTTTCGATTTATGTGTGTGCAAGCGTCATGATAATTTTATATGTACCGTTCCAATGTTAACAGATGTCGAAAGCAACACTCTCCAAGTTTGTATCATTTTCCACTGTGAGTCCAAACACATTCCACGTACGGGAACAGTGGCATCGAATTTTTGGGGCATAGGATAGGACTCAAGAAGACGTATTGTGCCCCTAGTACTCTCAAGAAATGGTTTACCCTTTCAAAACCAGTTTTGGGGTTCCAGGTGAAACGGACGACTAATTCTCCAAATTTATGGAAGTGCCAATTATACGAGCAGTAGTTATGGACCCTTCACAAAAGTGCGAAGGACCAGTACCCCGACAAATTCAACCCCCAAAGGACACACTTATCCGCTGGTCCCCTGGTGCAAAAAATGTAGAGGTGCTCGCTTTGACAGTCCAAATATACATAAACATGATTTTTTGTATGCATGTGTGTGTCATGGTGTGTGTGTGTTTGTGTGTGTGTATGTATGTGTGTGTATGTGTGTGTGTGTGTGTGTGTGTGTGTGTGTGTGT